AATGTAGAGGTTCTGACAATGATAAATTCGTTATATTGAGGTGTCTTATTTTAGCCGAAATCACGAAAAATTCGTTAAATCAAGGTCGTTGTTATGGTTTGTTCGTTATGTAGAGGTAAAATATACATTGTGTCTTATGGAGAGTTGTAGGGGATTTAAAAAAATTCGTTATATCAAGGAATTCGTTATATCGAGGTTCGTTATATCAAGGTTAGACTGTACTTTATTCTTGAACATTAGAGCATTACAGAGATTTAAATATAAAACAGCATAAAGTTGTTGGACTTTGTTGCGCTGTCGGTAGTGATGGTTATTACTATGAGGGTTGTTTGGTCCTCACTGGAAAATCGGTGATGTTCTCCAGTTCATGAACTCCTCAACTATATAGAGAATGGTCTCTCCATAAGCCAACCTGATTAGCGTTGTCTGGTGCTGCTTATGCTGGGGCCTTTTATTGTCTCTGGTACCAGGTTCAGGAACTTCACTCCCATGTAGGAAGGCTTTTCTTCAAAAAGAGTTAGATGATGGACTGGAAGTGTGTAATTCATAGCCTGTCGGGTGTTATTGCTGTGTCTATGCATACCTTGTTGGAGCTGTAGCCTGCTTGCATAAGTAGCCATAGCTAGGACGTACAGGCTTGTAATCGTTAGGATTTTAGTTCACGGAATTTCGGTCTGTGACTTTCTCTCTTGTCAATGTCTGCTAATATTCTTAGTGCTTTTTTCTGGTGGATAAGCACACGTTGGAGGTTGGTTGCCGATGAGTTTCCCCATACTTCAAGGCCATATCAAAGATGTGATTCAAGCAGTGAGTGGTAGGCAATCTTGGCTATGTTGGTGTCACTTATGGTTTTTATCCTTCTTATTATGTAGACACTGCTACTCAGCTTACTACACAGGCTGTCAATATGGGGGTTCATGTCAGTTTCTGATCTATTATTAAACCTAAATACTTTGCTTCTTCTGGGCCTTCGATGTCTGGGATCCTGCCTACCCCACCATTTCTCACTTCTTTGCCTCACAAAGATCAGGACGCAGTTCTTTGACTAAAAACATCAATTACAGTAGCTTGCAACTGCATCCTCAAAAATTGGTTCTACGGACTGAGCGTTTTGATCCTTTATAAAAACTAAAGGACAGAGAACAGTCCATTGTTGGAGCAAACATAATTAGTGGCAGTACAGAGAATTGTGTCTTGATTTTGAATTACACAAGAAGGTCTATTATGAGAACATAATTGGTAGAGGTGTGCGGATAGTGAAATTTCATTTCGGATCGGATAGTTGAGGCTCGGTTCGGATCGGATCGGATATTGGGAGGTTCGGATTCGGATGTTTTCGGATTCGGATAGTTCGGCGCGGTTAATAATAAGCTGCATATATATTTTTAACCTATAAAACACTGTAAAGCTGTGTAAATAAACTTAGATGACGATTTTGAATTATAGAATTTTAAATTAGCCACGTCCACAGTTTTTTCTCTCTTGAAAATCACAATTCACAACATCTATTTTCAAAAGTTAGTGGCTTGAATTAAGTACACTAGCAGCCGAAATCTTCACACAACACCTTAGCTCAGCAGGACTGATGTCAAACGTTTCGGCTTGTTTACTGGAGGTTATGTTTTATGTTGTTTCCTGGTTCTCACAAGACAAGGAGTTCTATCTCAAGTTTATTTTCACATTGTATTTCCTTACGTTTTTGGAACGGGTTATTGGCCTTAAGTGGCATTCTGCGGGTTTGCCTAGTTTAGAAAACATCACTAATGCACTAAGCTGGGCTTTAGCTCACGATTTGATGTTGCAGCAAGTTAATTAGGGCAATTAGGCTTTATAACTCTGTAAAAGGTGTGTATCCCTGAATTTATAAATTTCATTCTACACTTATTCACTGCCAAACATAATTCAGTAGAACCTTGATGAACCGAGAATTACACTAGCCTACATAACTTTATTACCCCAAGTAAAATACCAAGATAATTTTTAAAATTGTATTTGAATAGTATAATCATAATCTTAGTTTGTTAAAAATGGATTGTATGTTCAACAATTGCAGTCCATTATTGTTATGCAGTATGGTCCCAAGTTATTGTTTTTGATTTTGATACATCACAGTTCATTTGACAAAATTAAAGTTGAAGCAGCCCAAGGTCAAGACACGCTTGTGCAATACAATAGTTTTTTACAAGCTTTCTCCAGACCACTGGGGAGGGTCGGGTCTGATAAGCCGTCTATTGTCCACCCCCAAGGCCGTTCAACCCTCATTAGTGCCGCTCGGCTGCACTCAGTGGGGAACCCAACACAACAAATCAATCTTTTAAATGAATAAAAATATTTGGTAATAATTGTTTTATTGATATTCACCTTGAAATTTCAATAAATTTGGTGTAAAATTTGACAAAAATTGGCCAATTTGACCGATTATTAATACAGTACCAATAAAGTACTTTGGTAATTAAATATTAGGTAAAAATTAACCGATTTTCGTCAAGTTTTACCCCCTGCTGTGCGCTATGTCACAAAAGCTGATTTAACGACATGGGTGATTAGTAACCATGGCAAATTGTTGAATGCGTGATGAAGGAAAACCCAAGAAATAGAAGAACAAAGAGAAAGAATAATGACGTTGTTATCTTTATACCCTTTTTACAATTGCTGTTATTGTTATTATGTTTATGTAAGATTTTATGATTTTGTTTTATAGGTTTATAAAATAATTCTTTTTAACTACGGAAATATCAATTTATCAACGTGCTTCTCATCTGAAACAGCAATACAGGATGCAAAATAAAGGTCAATGGCCTTAAATATGAATGTGCAATATTGTATTTTGATGTTGAAATTCAAATCATGACAAAAGTTTGTATATTTCTCCTGGTCCCTATCATTATTTAATAATTTAATATACACAATTAATGCTAAATAATCGTGGTTAGTTCTAAATTGATTTTTGATTATTAAAAGTTTCTACACAATAAGACAATCCAAAGTCAAACCGGGCAATGAATACCCGAAAAACAATTAACGTATCTTGTCATGTGATTGGAATACCACTCGCCAGTCCTTTAGGTTTAGGGAAGTAGTGTTAGTCTATATAGCTTCAAGGTCGTACCCACCCCTTCCCCTCTCCCGTCCTACTCAACTCACAGTTGCTACCCGAGCTCCTTTCGAGGTCATTGCCCAACCCCTCCCCCCTTCTATTGTGTTGCCTTTCTATTGTTTCTATTCAGACTTTTTTCGGGAAACATTAAATCTTTTGTTTACGTAACAGCTCAGAAGTAGGCTAGATGTTTCTACTTTAAAACAGTACTGTAAAAAAAACTATTACGCAGCACCCCTAGTATCAGGAGACAAGCACGAGTCGACTTTCATTTGACCATGGTAGTTTTTTTCTGCTTTATGTCTGTTCGTTCCAGATGAATCTAATCGTAAAGCAAAAGAGCCGATAACGACTAAACTAGATATCGGTATTGCATCATATGGCTTCTTTGTCGTTTGCTGTTACGTAGTTGGAAACGTATTGCTGTAATTTTTTTCCTGGGAAACTAATGATGGTTATGAAGATTTAGTTTTCTGTCTAAAACGTCAAAATATGTTGTCTATCCGAAAAAGTCGGATATATAATGGATAGTGTCGGATATCAAATTTGGGCTCGGTTCGGATCCGACCCTATTTTTCGGATATCCGCACACCTCTTAATAATTGGTTCACTACCTGTTGTTACAGATAGTTGGTGGAAATAAATAATGAAGAATTTAATTTGAGTATAATACAGATATGTCTAATAACTGATATTTGAATGTTTTTTTTCTAAATTTTGAATATGTTATTCTCTACATTTAAAATGGGAGACTTTAGTGGGAGTTTAATCGTATGCAACTTTTCCGGACTAACCTATGATTAAACAATTTGGTCTGTTGATCATAACAATGACTCCTCAAACCTTATGAAGAAACCGTGAATGAATTTGACAATTATGTGGTCACACAAGTCCTTTTTAACATTGTAAATCTAGTTTGTTATGTCAAAATATAAAAATGAAGGGTATCCATTTAGTTCAGTTCACTCCAAAGCATCAAAAAAGGCACAAGCGACTATTATAGTTAAACCTTTTGGGTGCCGTGGCATCTCGATCCAAGACGAGCGTCTCGTAACGAGACGTCTGTGGTTGCGCGAGAAATGCCAGCATCTCGGACAGAGACGATCAGAATATCATATTTTGACTGGTTATATTTTGTAGCCTACATGTTTGATTTTTAAAATAATTTTTTAAATTAATAAAATGGTAAGCTATAATTTTTCACTGTTAGTTGGTCAATAAAATTTATTAGTCATGAACGACAATGCCATTTGAAACTTGTTAGAGGACGAGACTCATTTGATGTGTCAGCTTAGTTTAGTCCGATATCCGGATCCGACCATCACTAGTTTAGACAGATTGGTTTGTAGCACAATACCTCTTTAAGGTTTAAAGTAGGCCTTGGAATTTCTCCTAATGCTAGCACTTCTTGAACTAACAAGGTCTACAAATGAAATTAGGCCTATTACAAAACAAATTACACATAGCACCAACCCAAGATGAGGAAATTTGTGCCTTACTATAAGATAGCCTTAGTGTTTAATGAACAAATATATATATATATATATATATATTTAATTTACCTTTTAACATATTGAAATTCACATTTTACTGTATTCACAAAAGATAATTATATAAAAAACAACAAATATTGGATAAAAACACTTAATTCATGTGGAGAAATGGCTGGCATTCCTAGCAGGTATACCACATGTACTGATGAAACCATTATTATGTGCGCGGCTCAGACACCCCTCCCCCCCTATTGGATATAACCAATAATATCCAGCCTCCCCTCTCCACCCGCGCATAGAGATTAATGGTTCCTACAGTATGTCTGGCACACCTCAAATAAAATTACCTTACCCTTCCACGGCACATAAAGGGATATATTACCAAAATAAGTAAAACTAAAAAATATTACCTGTGCAGTAACAGGAGTAACAGGAGGTTGGATGGGGGGTATCGGCACTGGAGCTGGGGGAGGTACAGGAGTAGACGCAACTGCAACTGGCACAGGCACTGGCACGGACAATGCTTCACTTGGCACAACCTGCAGTATGTTGCCAACCTGCAAACACACATCAATGATAATGTAACTACTATTGTATGTTACTGTAACTAGACATTGATATTTCAATCACCCATACTGATTAAAATTGAAAGTCTTACCTTTGTTAATAGCTAATGATGGTTTAAAAGAAGATATGAGCAGGGACACAATATGTTACCAAGTCGATAACAAGTTTTCTAGAATTGATTTAAGTAGAAGTACTTTTTTTCTGACAAGAGTTACTTCAACATTTTGTTCTGCTTTCGAAATATTGTGATGAATAACTTTAAAAATTTAGATGTTACACACAGCTGTTTAATACCTTCAACATTTGATTAAAGTTTGATTTGTATTATAGCTTATTGTATTGCTTTGCCAATTTTTGTTTTCGGTACTGCCTCAGTACGGTATGACAATAATTGTCAAGATGATTTGACACTGCTTTATTCCAATCTCTGAATATCCAGTGAATTGACAGCTACTCAAATTGTTTGGTGACTGCATTAGAGACAACCCAACCCGTACATTTTAATACTTTTAGGAAAAGTTAAAAATAGTATTCAAAAGGGAAATTACTCCATCTAAAGCTCCCGACTTGGATTTATACGAGTAATTAGGCATAAAATAGAACTGTTTAGGAACAGAAAAGTAATTTCTTTCAGTTGTTAAATGCAAATGAGTCATTTTAACCATCCAAAAATTGAGTTAATATCTAGTAGAAGCCCTCATATCCGACCTCAGCATAACCGACTCCTCGGGATATCCAAAACTAGTTAGTGACTGTATAATTGTTACCTGATAGGGGAGATATGCAATAGCACCTAGCGTGTTTGATTAAACGAAAGGATGATCACTGGTACTTCCGTTATCGTGGTAAACGAATACCGGTTTTACCGAGACTGGAAGACATCCATCACAGTTTTTGCTGTGATGTCAGGACACAATTACCGGTGTCGTCGATACCGCAAAATATGCTCACAGGTGTTGCCGTAATCACGGTAGACAAATACCGGTGTCACTGAGACTGGAAGACGATCTCACAGTTTTTGCCGTAATCGCAGGAGACGATCACTGGTGTCGCTGATACCTCAAGATATGCTGCTCCCGATATCTGACCTTTTGACCACGACCATGCCCCAGCCCCATTATGGTCGGATATGAGGAATTCTACTGTAATAATTTCACACCATTCAAAATTTACCGTGCTAAATATAACATCATTACATATTTTCAAGCCCATCGTCAGAAAAATTTATTTTTAAACATTCATATGACAAACAACTAATAAAGTATCTATTTTTAGGTGTACTGAACACAATAACATAAAACATTGACTTGTAAAACCAAAATATAGAAAATAAATCATTGAAGTTAAAAGTTACTGGAAACACATAAAATCCTGAATGCAATCAAAAGATAAGTTTCAAATGGATAAGCAGTAAAACAATAACTTTTCCCCTGGTAAGTAAGAAGACCATTTGAATATCTTTAAGATTGGGAACTTACAACAAATATTGCACAATCAATGGTTTGTATCTTAAACAATTATGTGCATTACCAGCAGAAGGAGTGTCTGCATTAGTAACAGCTACCACAGCCAGATTGGAACGAAGCAAGAATCTACCATCTTTATCATTTTTCCGTGATCGTTGACCATATCCTGTCATAAATCTGTCAAAACTCGCCAGTCATACAGCCATGTTCGCTCGATCATCGCATGGACTTACAACACAAGAACAAGTAAAACTAGTTGATTAATCTACAACAGTAGAAAACATGCAAAATGTGTAACGGACATTACATTTCTTATAATCTTTTCAAGTTCTTATTGTTTATTACAGATGAAAGTAAGTTTAGTTATCAACCCAAAAGAGTAACAACAAAAAAAGAAGGAATGTAATGTAAATGTTAGAGCAAATACAAAATGTGCTCCGAGATTAATTTGTACTTAACAGTCCACACGTGGAAGATGTCGTCAACCTGTCAAAAATTATTTTTTCAAGTAAAATGCAATTAAACCCATGCTGTTTTGATTTATGTCTGGTGGTATGGTTTATTAGGTTTAATTCATACAAAAAATAAAGATTTGGTTAGATGTTTCAAAGTGTCAACAGCAATTGTCAGAAAAGATTTGTATTCCCCAGACAAAAGACAGATTTTTTTACCACAATTCACCTGCTCACAAAGCCAGTTTTGGGCAAGTGTGTTGATTGTAATAGATGTAAAGGAGATGGTATATTTTTATAGTAATAAGTTATTTTATATATTTTTGAAACAACAGTTTTAAACCATAATTTCAATTTGATTGGGTACATAATGTCGTCGTAAAAAATACAAATATAACATTTTTACACGCACAAATACATTAAGTAACAGAAAGACGCCATAACACGCACAACAAACACGACTCAACTACCGACTGCCACTGGTCTGGCATACTTTGGCATTTCTTGGATATTGTAAACTTATATACACATGTTCCAATACATGAAACGTTAGAAATAACCAAAGAAAACCTGTTAGCAAACTCCCAACTTAGCACTAACACCATTAAGGAACTAATAAATCTACTCAAAACAACATTAGAACGAAATTACCTCAGTTTTAATGGAAAATATTATCTTCAAGAAGAGGGACTAGCTAAGGGGTCGCCTTTGTCCAGTGTGCTCTCCGAAATATACCTAAATCGTTTAGAAAATGAAAATATTCTCTCTGCCAACAACAAATTTTCCAAGAAAATCATATTTTACAAATGATATGTTGATGACACCCTTTTGCTTTTTAATGGAAACTCTAGACAGCTGCAACTTCTCAATAATCATTTGAACAGCATTTCACATAAAATAAAATTCACACTCGAAATCAAAAATATTAAATTTGATTAACTTTCTGGATCTAACTTTGACCAAAAATAACAATAGTATTGACTACAAAATCTATAGAAAGCCTACAACCACAGACCATACAATCCATGCAACCTTCACTCATCCACAATCACACAAGAAGGCCGCCTACAACAGCTTCGTTAATCGACTCCTAACAATACCCATGTCTCAAAGTAACTACAACAATGAATATGAAATATTAAAAATGTATAGCCGTCAATAATGAATACAATAGCAGTATTATCGACAATATTATATACAAACAAAAGAACAGAAAACCACTACAGAAAACTGATCAAAACTTTATTTCTATAGAATATGGCAACTGCTTACATTATACCTTAAAAAACGAACTTAAGAATCATAACATTACATTGGCCTACAAAACTTCAAATAAACTAGAAAGCTACCTAAATCCACATACAGTAGAACCTCTTTAATCCGAACTAATTGGGACCGGGGGTAGTTCGGACTATTGAATAGTTCGGATTACAGAACATATTGTTGTTTTTACATAACAATAGCTTGGGAAAAGTGAAAAATGCCTTATAAAGTCAAATACAGTGTTTATTAAATATAGTAGTGAACATAGGGAATAAACAGTACTGTACATTACAATTGAAATAATTATGGTGTGTATATCAATAAATACAGTATACAATAAAGAACTACTGTACTGTGTATAGAAGCAATGAGGCGTTCGGATTAGTGGACGTTTGGATTAGTGGACGTTCGGATTAAAGAGGTTCTACTGTACTTCAAAATCTACAGTTTCCAATAACCTAGAGAACACAGGAGTGTACAAATTACCCTACAGTGACTGTCCAATAACTTATATTGGACAAACAGGTTGTTCATTCAAGAAAAGGTTAATGAACATCTACTCAAGCCTAAACTGCGAACACAACATTCTAAGTTCGCTAAACACCTGATGAATGAAAACCACAACGCAAGCAGTTGTAGTGATAGCCTGGATATTTTACATAAATGCACCAAAGGCTCCTTAATGAATGTCCTTGAAAGCTATGAAATCTATAAAGCAACAAAAAGGTTACCCCACGACATCTTGAATGAAAAGCTAAATTTTGGTCGCAACATAATATTTGACAGGATCGAGGACATTGATAACAAAGGCGCTCTCAGCTGTCTTACCCCCTCCAAGGTCAACCATAATTTAATGTGCAATTTAGTCTGCAGTTTGGTTGGACTGTCACCAGACCAGTGGCAGTCGGTAATTGAGTCGTGTTCGTCATGCGTGTTATGGCCGGCCGCGCGTCTTTCTGTTACTTAATGTATTTGTGCGTGTTAAATGTTATATTTGTATTTTTTGACGACAACATTATGTTCAAATAATTTTATTTTAGACGACAAGGCTTGAAAATGAAACGTCAGTTTCAAAACCAGTCGCTTGAAAGACTATCCTAGGATTGAAGACATAAGGTACGTAAACCTATTTTATATTGAAATTAAAATCGTTTTGCTGAATTTTATATTGTCTTAAATCTATCCTGGCGGCAATGCTGAATAGATTTTTATTTATTGGGCAGTTGTTCATGTTGAGTTTTCTGTTCAACTTGCATTTTCTTTCTTTTGTTAAGCGTTGTGGTTGTATTTTGAGTTTATATGTTAAATAAAATGTTTTAAAAAGTTCTTTCTGGACAATTCTTTTCTAGTAAAATATTATTTAAAAAGAGTTTATTATACCTATTACAGTACACTACTACATTCAGTTTCAATTATGAGTATATTTTAGGGCTAAAATGAAATCTAAATCGCTGATGCCTTAAATAAATTAGTCCAGATAATCGACACTCTACTTCTGCTCAACATATTCACTTAGTCCTTAGGTAGTTTAAAATATAAACAAATGATTTAACTTCTAATGTATACTAATGTGAACCAGCGGACAAAATCAACACTTGAAAACTTGTTTTACTAATTGTGATGGGAAATTTCTGAAATATTCTCTTAAATAACAAAACCTTATGAATCCAAAATGTTTCAATAATGTCCCCTAGCTCACATTCAAATAACGTATCATTCCTTGGTACTTGAAATAGATCTCTAAAAGAATAACTGTGTGGATGTGTTAAACATGTTTATTAGTTAGTTTATAAAACTAATTAATTTTATTTATAAATGTGAATTCTGATTGTATTTAGTTTGCTGATGATACACTTTTAGTAAAGCCAAGGATAGGAATAATTTAATATAAAATTTTTCCTCCATCATAGAACATCTTTGTTTTATTCAGTACCATGTTTAAAATACAGGAACTTTTGCAATATCCAACCAGTCTAAAAACTTTAATTTTACTATTACCAGCACCAAAATGTAGGGTTCCTCTAGTGAATAAGTAAATTTTCTAGACCACACACTCTAAAAATAGAATATCTTAAATAGATTGTTTAAAATATAAGAACTAAACTAATCAGTTATTTAAAAACTAAATAAAGCTGCATCTTTATCTTTACAAAAAAAAAAAAAAAAAAAAACTGTACATATGACCACAACATATTCTCAGAGTAGGCCTATACCAATTCCTAGAAAATGCAATCTGTTAAACTTTTATGCAATATAGATTTAATAAAACTTGCTTATTTTTATCAAGAATTTATGTTACCTTCTTTTAAAAATTGTTTAAAATATTAATGAAGTTGAACCTTCTGTTTTCAATACATGCATTTACTGGGCTTAGATGGTTCTATTAATTCCCATATTAAAAAACAGTGTTCAGCTGGAATCGAAGACATCAACTGGACATTTTTCTAACTTGTGAATTTTAATTATAGGCCTAAATAGTTTAAACTCCACATGATCCACATGTTTTTATTTTAACAGTTTAATAGTTACAGTTAGTCTATTGGTCCCTAAGCCCTTCATAGACTAAGTTGAACACAAACCCAATAACTGTCCGTTCAAAATAAATAACCTCTTGATAAGCATCATACTATTGTTGGGTATACCTTGATTATGAAATATAAAACTTTATGAAACCAGACAGAAAGTCGAAAATCTAAGGCACCGCTTTTTTTACAGACAAAGCTTATTATTTGCTTTGTATCGTAAATGAGTACCAATATATACAAATCTATGACCAAAAACGTAAAATTTGACTATAAATATACTTAAGGGTAAGGTACTACAAACATGTTTCAGCTAATAATTTGGAAATCATTTATGTAACTTCTTGGTTTTTAAATAGACCGATCACATATGAATTGCTGTATCAAACCATAACACACATTTTTCCTTAATATTTCAAAAGGGAAGTACCGTACTCAACTTGAAATGGCACTTAAATCTTTTTAACTACAGAGGAAAACATGTTGAATTTTTTTAGGATGACTAAGCTTAAGAGCAAAAAATAAATTATTTGATCAGATCGTTCAGTTCAGGCTTAAAGCAATAACTTCCAATTTTAATGTTGAGTTTTGCTTGTTTTTAATGGCAGAAAAAATGAACTTTGTCACTAAACTAAGGCAAAAAATCAATGTGGTATTACCTGTAGAACTTTGCTAGATTTCCCCTGCTTCATGAGCTGTTGACTGGCATCCCAATCTAGTCTCGGTGGCTGGACTAAGTTGGGATTCCTATGCTGCTGAGAGGAAGGTTGTAGGTTTATGGAGCTTCCATCATGCACAGGAATCTGGTAGAAAGATTGGTACCCTGGATAATTCATGACTGTGGGTGGGGGTGGAGGAGGACTCTTTTTTACTCCCAACTCCAGTTCTATACGATCATCCAAAGGCAACCTCTTTGGTGATAGAACAGCATTTCTAGTGATTTTTTTGATTGGCGGTAGATCAGAATCACTAATTGTAGAATCTGCTAAACTACGTTTGAATCCGAGGGGTGACGGGTTTCTTCCAGAATACTCAACATTTTGTGCTCTTGCCTTCTTTTGATCTTGGTCATTAGAAGGAGGACTCGGAGGTCTCCAGGGACTAAGAGACTTTTTGGAAGAACTAGGTAGATTTTTCAGAGATAAGGGTGTTCGCTTCCCTGGACTAGGTGGGCGTAGATTTGGACTTGAGGGCCTTTTGGGAGGGCTTGGAGGGCGCCATGAACTTTGAGATCTTCTAGTTGGACTCAAATACCTTCTGGTTGGACTTGAAAGTTTCACAGGGCTATGTCCACCTTGGAGACTTGGAGATCTATAGGGACTATTGTAAGGGCTTTGTGGGCTTGGTGGTTTTCTCTGAAGATTATAAGCACTTTTCTGAGGACTGTCACTTTCTTTTATAGAGCTTGGGGGTTTATTTTGAGGGCTTATAGATCTCCTAGGGCTTGTAAATTTTCTTGGGCTTGGAGATCTGTTTCTCATTGAAGGGCTTGATCGATGTTGACTTGGTGAGTAGCGTGCCTGTGAGGAAGTTATCCGTTTTTGGTACAAAGGAGATTTTAAAAGAGGACTAGAAGAGTATTTGTGAGGACTAGGAGATCTTAGTGGGCTTGGTTTTCTTTTATGTGGGCTTGATGATTTTCTCATAGGGCTCTGCTTAGACATTTTTTCTTGCATATGAGTTTGGCTGGAATCTCGTTTTTCTGAAGAACGAACATCTATTGAACTATCTCTTCTCCTAGGACTTTGATCTCTAGATTGATCTTTTCTTCCCCGGGGGCTCCTTTCTCTACGTCTGTCCTTAGGTGAACTTCTACGGGTTCTTTCTCTAGATCTATCTCGCCTCCTACTTCTCTTATCTGGTGAATCACGACGATATCGATCCCTTCTCCTATCTCTTGATCTTGAACGAGATCTAACTTTTTTCCGGTCTCTTTCTCTAGACAAATCTCTTCTTGCTCTGTCACGTCTCTCCCGAGAAGATTCTCTTCGCCTTGATCCTCTATTATCTTCACGCTCCTTACGCCTCCTGTCCTCTTCTAATAACTGTATCTTATCTGCTTCATCAGTATCTTGACTTTCCTCTGGAATTTTATCTGATTGTACACCTTGAGATACATCACTCTCAGGTTCTTGCTTGATCAGAATATCAGGAACAAAATTAGAACTATCAATATTTTCATTATTAGCTTGGTCATCAGACACTATTTCTTCTTTAATAGGGATTTCTTTGGTTTGGTTTTCTGATTCTTGGTTTTCACTGCCACCACTTTCATCATTTACTACTTGAGTAGAACCAACCGAGCTTCTCTTTACGCCTTTAACACTGAAGGTCTCCTGATCTGTATTCAACACATTTGTAGCAGTTACCTCTAAATCTTTTTGTAAATTTTCTGTGTTATTGTTTTTTAAAGGGTTAATTGAAATGATGTTTTCCTTCTGTATTGTGCCTTTCATAACTTGTGCATCAATAAGTGTGGTGGGTATAATTTCATCTTTTCCTAATGAAGTTACAATGTTGCCTTTTGTTATGTCACAAACTTTATCCAAAGAGTCTTTTGAAACCTTCTCTGAAATGACAGAAGTTGTTTTGATCTTATCATCAACGTCAGAGTCATAAGGAAATTTTGGACGGCTATTATTTTGTTGACTACTTTCCCCCTCCTCATCATCATCATCATCATTCTCAAATATGTTTACTTGTTTCAACTGTGGTACAGGTTTCCCATAGTATAACTTTTTTGTAATAGGTATTTTCAAAGGATCAGTCAAAAATGTTTTGACTCCTGTGTTTTCAGATAATGCTGAAACAGTAGTTTTAAACTCAGTATTCTTAGAAATATTGCTGATAGAAGAACATGTGTTTGAGAACTGAGGCCTATCATTTAATATATTCTTAAATGAGGGCAGGGGTACTGGCATTACTGGTGGAGGTACTGGAGCTGGAACAGGTGATATTTGGGATTGCTGCAAGTCAAGTCCACTAGGAGGTAACGGAATGTCTAACATGCTGATACCAGAAATATTTTTGTTGGAATTTGAGTCTTCTGGTGCATTACTTTCCAATGACATGTCACTATTGACTTTTTCATTACTATTGGGAGATAAGGGATCCAAGTCCAATGTGGGGCTATATCTTTCTGAATCTATATTTTTTTCAGATGCATGTACCATTGATGGTATCATATTACTAGGTTCTTCAGTCAATTTATCAGATTTTAAACATTCTGGATACCTTTTTCCCTTGTTATCAATAAGTTCTTTTTGTAAAACACAAACATCTGAGAGTGGATTCAAATCACATTTAGTAACTGGGGTGGATGCCAAACTTTCCTTTACTTCAATTTTTTTTCCTGGACTTTTAATTTTTTCTTGAGAGGACGGTAAGCTTGTATCGAAAAGAGGAACTATTGGTGACATTAGTAATTCGGAATCATCACTTTTTTTTAACAAGTTTTCAAAAAAAGAATCCCTTTCTCTTTTTTCTTTAGAAATTCTGAAGTCTTCATCTAGTTGTTGCATTTTTGTTTCAAAATCACCCAGAGTATTGAATGTAATCTCTCTATACTCATCACCACTTTGAGAATCGAACCTAATTATAGGTATTTTATCAGGAATTTCAATTTTACGAATTTTCTCTTCTTCAATATCAGGCATTTCTTCACGTATTTTTATCTCATCGTTAAAATGTTTTAAAAAACAACCTCGTGTTTCACTATCATCACTCCAATTAGTCGCTTTTCTGGCCCTAGTAGGAGATATATTTATAGAATCGTTAACATTTGATTCTTGGCTACTTTCTCTAAAACATCTTTGTTCAGATACAGTGGGTTTTATTTCTAACAGACCTTTATTCAGAGTGGTTAAATATGTTTCAGTTCTTTGTAAATCAAATATATTTGCTTTTTCTGAGGCCTTAAACTTCTTATCTTTTTTCTTTTTCTTCTTTTTCTTGTCACTTTCACCTTCAATATCAACACTGTTTCTTAACTTTTCTCTTTGTTTCTTTTTTTTCTTGTCTTTTTTTTCTTTTTTAGACCTTTTCTTAGATTTACCATCAAGATCCTCAGCCGTACCCGATAATTTGACTTTATCATTAATTCTTATGACAGAAGTTTCTTCACAAATGCTACTGCCATGAATATTATTTCTATCCAATGCTTTTTCTTCAACGTCCTTTTCAAAATCCTCTTCAGTCAATCTTTTATTTCCTAAAAAAGGAACCTTGCTTTCAATGGACATTTTAGGCTGAAACAAATCATCTGTTTCAAGATAAAATTGCCTCTTATTTTCGACTTTGGGAATAGGAATATCAAAATCTTCCTCAGACATCTTAATTCCTGTTTTCGTGATACTTTGACGTTCATTTATTGTTTCCTCATCTTCAATTTGTTTAGAGGGTTTTGAGCTCTCTACAAAGTCTAAAAAAAGATCCTTTTCTTTCTTTTCCCCCTTCTTCAGCTTAGTTTTGCTTGACGATGTCTTTCTTTCAATGTGATCAACACCGGACTTAGGCTTTTCTTTTAAACTCTTCTTTTTCAATTTTTCCTTCTTTTTGGACGAGACATCTTTCTTTTTCTTCACTTTATTATTTTTTAATGTTTTTTTGGATTTATTTTTTTCTTTTTTCGGCAATTTTACAGCTTTTACCAACAAATCAACATCGATTTTGCTTTGCTTTTTTTTCGGGACTCCTTCAATCTCCTCCTCCTCATCAATAGGGAGTTTCCTTTTCTTTTTAACCTGTTTTTTCAACAATACCTGGCCTTCAGGTTCTCCCATTTTCTTTTTCCTTGCAACTTTATCTTTATTTTTCTTTTTCTTTTTTTTACTTTCTTTCACTTTTTTCTTGTTCTTCTTTTTCAAGCCTTCTTTTTCATCCTCACTAGATTCGGAAGACTCTGAACTAGAGTTGTATTTTGTTTTCTTTTTGCGCCTTAATTTAGCTTTCAACTTTTTAAGTTTGCGTTTTTTCAATTTTTTTAGGTCAATTGAACTATCTGAACTGGAACTGCTATAAGAACTAGAACTTGATGAGTCACTTGAAGAGTCATCGCTTGAACTAGAAGAGGACGACGAGGATGACGAGTCAGAGCTCGAACTTGAAGATGACGTTGATGAATCGCTACTGGTATGTTTCTTCTTCTTTTTCTTAGATTTTTTATGTTTGTCTTTAGATTTCTTTTTTATTTTGGATCCTAGGACTTTAGATTTCCTTTTCTTACCCAAAAGACTTTCATTGAAGAGCTTATGTTTTAAGATTACTTCCTTAATACTTTCCATTTCTACAGAGTGGGTTGGACTTGGAGACCTTGATCGATTTAAAAATATTTTCTTTTCTTCCCACTCTGGTTTAGGAACATTATCAGATGGCTCTTCGGACTGTTTATCATATACATTTATCTCACTTTGTACATGAGAACTATCATTTATTGATAATGAATCATTTTCAACATAGTTTTCTTTATCACTGATTTCATCTTCCCAGGTGTTATTTAAGTCTGTACTTTTATCAGGTTTTATTGAATTACTAGAAATTTCATCTCGTTCGTTTTCTGAACCTAACATTTTCATAAATTCTTCATATTCATAGGCTAATTTTTCTACTTTATCAGGAGGTTCTGAGTTATTTTTTTCATGTGAATCTAATTTTGCATTATTGATCAAGTCCTCACCTGCAGCACTTTTGAGACTTTCGTCTTCAACCCTGTCATCCTCCTCCACTTCCATTGGTACAACTCCCAAGTTGTCCTTATTAATATCTTGCACTTCTAAATCTAATTTTACATTTTCATCAGTTTTGTCTTTGGGTACATCTTTAGGTTTTTCATTTACTGATTCATTTTGAGCTTCATCAGATTTCTTATCCTCATCTGATTCTTCATAGTCACTATCCCATTTTGAACGGATGGCTGACTTGATAATAGGCTCTAGTTCTTCTGTTATAACATTTGAACTACTTTGACTGATATTTCGTGACCGAGGTTTGAAATTATCTTTTTTGCTGGATTTGGCTTCTGATGTAGGTTCTTCATTAACATCATCAAAATGTTCTGAATTGATGACAACATTAGGCACAACATCTAGTTCTTCCACTTCCACATCTTCTTCCTCGTTCAGTGGAACGTTAACCACCATCCATTCCTTATCAGTTTGATACCAAGATCGATGATTAAGATTACAACTCTCTTCATCTTTAATTTTAAGTTCTTCAGAGTCCTTTTGATTATTATCTTCATTTTTATTCTCGTCGTTGGGTGTTCTATCACAGCTATTATAAGTTTCAGGGTTAGTCTCGTCACTTTCTTTCTGCTTTTCTTCATTGAAGGCATTCAAACCATCATCATTTGTACTGATGGTAGCTCTTTCAACCTCTTGGGTTGTGTTCTTGACATCCTCTAAATCACTAGGGTCTTCATTACTTTCTATTCTAGTATCTCTTTGTATTTCACCTTCTAGACAACTTTTTACTCCTGTCTCTTGGTTATTGTCAACACAGATTTCACTCTCATTGTCTAGTTGATTGAAGGATTCCATTACATTTTTAACTCCTTCGCTTACCTCTGTGATGCTAGGTTTGGTTCGTAACCTGCAACATTTAAAGAAGTGGTAAACAACTTTTTTACTACTCAAATAACACTTTTAAAATACAGATATAAAAGTTTGTAGGTGGTATCAAAAATAACTTAAGCCATTTGAGAAAATAGTTTTTTTGATAATTTAATTTACTTTAAAATGTAAAAATCAAAACTACAGTCTAGCAAACTGGTCACCCAATAACCTGGCAGTCTGGGTTTTTCTGTGATAAAATTGTTAGCCCTTTCTTATAATAACCCGGCATTTTTCAAACTTCAATCCAGTCCACGTTTTGACAAATTTGTGTGGCCTGGACTGTTATGTTTTCTCTGTTGTATTTACAATCTAAGTAATAGGAATATTAATGACAATCTTTAATGAAAACTGCGATAAACAGCCATTTTTAATTAAATGGACAAGATGCTAGTAAAGTACACCGTCTCACGGTTCCTCACGGGGCCGGTAGAATAACATAAAATGGAGGTTAAAACGCGCAACTAGGTAAACATGTAAAATACTGTAGAAATAAATATTTGTATAGATTATATTAATGAAAAACTCAGTTTAATACCTATATAAATGCTTAGTTTTACAAAGTTTCCTTATAAAATACCTTATAGTAAGGTAAAAATGAAAGTACAGTAAAACTCTGATTAACCGAGGTTGTTGGGACGGAGACTACTTCGGTTATTGAGAGTCTAGGATAACACAGAGGTCGCATCGATTTTAAGGTTAGGAGTTACGGTACCACATTATGAAGTCATATACTTGTAAAATATATGTTTTAACAGTACATAGCAATTCAAATTAGCCTATAGAACAACATTTTCATGCCAGCTTTTTTTAACCCTTTCCACTCCAATTATGAGAGGCCTATTTTCTCACCAGCTCCATTTCATTTAAGCCAAATTTTCATATTTCATTTGTTTGCAAAAAAATAAATATCATCTTGATTTATAGAAGGCTGGTATTCTTTTTCTAAATACTTACACAAAATAAAAAAAATAAAAATAAAAAATCAAAATATAAGCATAATAGGCCATGACGAACGGCGGGGCTTCCCCGCCATTTGAGCGGAAAGGGTTAAATAAGATGGTGTTATTGAAAAAAAAATAACACAAACATGCTCAAACACTTCTTCAATCTTCTTGAAAACTTAAAAAAGGTATTATTAGAATTATGTTAAACCAATACACAGTATTTGAAACAACATAATTAGGTGGATCTTTATCTTTCTAGTTTAAAAAGCATAATTCTACATTTTGTTTGAGTTTGGCCTGAGCTACATTTGACACAATTATGTCTACATCAAAACATCATAAACAGTTTTTGTTTAATGACATTAAAACATACATGAGGCTGTTGTGTAATTTTGAAAATTATCGGTTAAGTCATATGAGTACATAGGTAAACTGAAAATTGAAATTTAAACTGTTTCCAAAAATTATACTCCAGTATGAAATGTTTCCTAATTGTTTTAAAAAAGTCTGCAAAAGATATCTAAAAAATGAGAAACATTTGAGAAACAGTCTGCAAACAATGTTTCTGGAAACAAATCTGCCGGCGAGGGCCAATGCTACACATACTCAACAACAGCAAACTGTATCACCTTACTACAGTAAAATGGTAAAACAAATGCAATATGAATAATTGTAAGTCAACTGCCATAAAGAGAGTGACAATTTAAAAAATACCTCTTTGATCTAATGCTGTTGAGGAAGTTTACTACAATTTCTTCAATATCTCGAGGAAGAGAAGACATCATAGTCTTACGATCACATAGATGGTAGGTTGCATGAGCTTGATTTTCACAGTAACTGATGGGTGGCCGAGTCTTGGTGTAGCGAACTAAGTATTCAGGAAAGTCAATATCCCCAGTTCCTCTTACATCTAATGCGACCAAGACCTAAAAAATCACATAAATTTGTGTCTTCAGCAGAATTTAATGCTTATGCTTAAGACATAATTGATACTACCTCAAGGTCCAACAACTTGCTAATATATGATAAGAAGAAAACTTGCCAACATGGATTTTAATCATCAGTACTTTTGGCCAAGTGAATTGTAGTTTTCACGTAAATGGTTACACGTTACTTTAGTGCTTTTCAAAATAAATGATGAAAAAACTCAGATAATGGCATACTTTGCATACGTGCACCTTAACATTGGCTATGATATTGAGTTCTGGGGAAATGTCACAGATAGTAAAATAATATTTAAAATACAAAAGAGAATTATAAGAGTTATCTCACAAGTTAGTCCAAGAACATTTTGTAGAAATTTGTTTAAAAGAATGGAGATTTTACCTTTGCCCTATTTGTATACATTCAACACTTTAATCTTTGTCAAAAAAACATTTTGCTATTATTGGAGAAAAAGGAACCAACTCCCAAATACAGCTTTAGGCCCATGAGCTTTGTGTTGCAATACCCCATACATAAATCTACTGCTTATGAAAATAGTACTTTTGATATGGGTCTCAAACTATATAATAAGCTTCCTTTATCACTGAAATCCTGACAATCATATCAGCAATCCCTTTCCAAAGCCAACAGGTGGTGGTTAGGCCCGAGATATTCAGTTTGTGGATTGTACAACTGTTGTTATTTTTTAAATGTCATACCAAAACTAAGGTACATAGTTTAAAATAAGTTTTTTTTTTACTTATGGAGTATATCCACTTGTCACTTATCTGTTGTGTTAAGTACACAGATTTACTTAGCTAACACTAATCATATGAGATAGTCTGCTAGCTTTATTATTATGACATTATTTACTGTTAATTAATTAGGGGTTTCTATACTCTAGACTTGCCTTTGCATTTGAATACATGCAACAGTTACACATTTTAGCATGGGTTATTTCATTAACAATTTCATTCACTGTTTTTTTCATCACTGAACAATTTCATTAAATTTCATTCACTGTTATTTCATTATTAATAGGGATGATTTATTTGAGTGAATAGACTTATTTTCAGCTAAATATACTTACTTTCTTGATAACCATTGGAGTCTCTAAAAGGTTTACACGACTTCCAGTTTTACTAGGGCTTTTCTCTCTCTTAGATTTTTCCTTTGACCTTGATCTGAAAAATGTAGTCACTATAATTCTATATATTAACTTTCTGGATTATTAACTCACATGGCTGATTTTAGAACAAGAATGGGTCAGGAATGGTATTGGAATAGTGGTAATTTTCCGATCGGTAAATGACCGAATCAGTGCCGGAATTGCCATGATTTTGAATTTGAAAGTCAAATCTCCAGTTCAAATATTTTTCAAAAATTCAGAGGATTCGAGATTTTACTTCAACCCTATCGACGTCAATAACGTATATTAGTCACTTAACGTATATGAATACAGACTCTTTTGTTTGTTGAAACCAAATCGGATCCATCAAAACAGAATCCAGCCCAAGATCCGAATTTTTGTGGATCCGATCTAGCGTCGGTTCTAGCTCAGATCCGATGGATCCGGTAGTACGTATCCGGATCCAACCATCACTAGTGAAATATATAGATATATAATTCATTCTATATAAAAAAAAGAATTTGAACTCAAATGTAGGTGTTGTGCATATATACTAATAAAATTGTTCATGTTTTCTATGAATTTTTTCTCTAAAGCTAATACAAATTGACAAAATTCTATACATCAATATTCACCTGCTATTTCTTCTGTGCCTTTTCTTATCTCTTAACTTCTCTTTTTCCACTTCATATTTAAACCTGCGGAAATGCCTAAGTTTATGGCCTTCTTTTTTGAATTCAATCCAACTGGATGGCAATATCTTTCTATTCTTGGATCGCTCTCTGTCTTTATCAGACTTTTTAGATTTACTTCTATGCCTCTCTTCACTCTGACTCCTACTTCTTCCTTTTCTTCTTTCTGCTTCCCTCTTGGATTTCTTTGCCAAAACTTCTCCTACTAAATAAGAAATATTAGTACTAGATAATTACACAACTTAACATACATTAGACTCCCTCTTATGCGGACACCTTTTAACCTGACATCGGTTTAACCGGACTACACTCGGCGGCAATGACATCTCTTTAATCGGATAATTTTTATCAGCGCATCGGTTTAACCGGACTATATCGGCAGGAAGTGGGCAGTACTGAAACGACTGTTCGCGTGGGAAAGTTTTGAGACCAGTGATCACGTGTCTAAATACAATGCTCTCCTAAATTTAAGTCAAATATGTATATAGTGTGCATTTAAACGGTCCGTTTTAACGAGTTTTTGGGGACGTTGGTTTAACGGGAAAACTGTTATCCGGACTGGACTCGGTCCCGAGGAGTCTACTATACTACCCGAGGAGTCCCGATTAGTATACATATTAGATTTATTTTTGATATAGAATCTTGGACTTATTATAAAATGGCAATCAAAACGTTGATTCCAATTTGTTGTTAACATCGTTTATCAATATGGGTTTTTTTCTGTAATCTTTGACTAAATAGAATGCTTCAAATGTCAAGAAATAACAATGCATACAACAATAATTACAATAATCCAGTGGCTCATAGAATAACATACTTAATAATTAATATAATAATAGCAATGGATCTTTTATGTGTCGTATGAATATACAGACATAGGCCTATCATTGATAATGTCCTAGGATGCAGGACAACTATCTGTAATACATGTCATTTATAAAATCTAGATTATAATAACATTTTAAAAATATATAGATGACAGGTTGGAAAATAATATAATCACAAAAATAAACTACAACTGCTAAAAATCAATATGTATGAGGCCTAAATCTGGATACTTTCACAATTGAAAAGCTGTTCAGTGTAAAAAAGGGTTGTCCTAATAACCAAGTAAAGATTGTTTTTGAAATCTTGTAATAGCCTGTTTGCAATAAGCTTTATAAAACATTGTTCACTTTTATGAGCAAGATGACTTTTATGAGTAAAATTCACAATTACAAATACAATACAAGATGTGAGCAAAATTTTGTGACTAATAGGCATAACAACGAAAAGCCTTCAATTTATCCATCAGAGTATAGATAATAAAAAAAAACCAAACATATTTATATTTTTAATTGCCTATATTTTTTATAGTCTTGGATGAATTGTTTTTTCTTTTAGTGTGGCGTATTTATTTTATCTACTAACTTCTTGTATGTATATTGAGATATAATGACACATTCATGTACAATTTTATGTACGTTTTGAATAAAGAATTAATTGTTATTAATGTGGGAGTTCCAGGATAGCAGATAAATAAATAAATGTCTATACCATACCAGAACATTTTGGTGAGTGAACATAGATTGTGTGTTAGTTTAAGTTATGTTTTTGTTTTGAGTCTCTCTTCATTTAGTAATAATCCATATGAATAGAGCTACCTTAATACAAATTACTGACCGACTAACTGTAGAGGTAATGCTGCTGCAAGAGCAAGGTTGTCTTTTACTCCATAATGTGGATGTTTCTGCATGTTTTCCAGCAACTGCATTTCTTTTCTTTTTAATTCTTCTATTTCACTGATAGTATCTCTAGCTTTATCTACTGATCCTACAAATAAAATATTAGAACATTAGAAACATCACATCGTACATTGTACGTTTCACTCCAAACTATGGATGCAAAGCTGCTCCTTCGACCATTGCGGAACAACCAAAATCCAAATATTGTTGCTCAGTTCAATAAACAAATATATAAGGAAGAAAATATAACATGGGATGAATCAGCTGCACATAGCAGCTGAATTTGTTAAAAGGAAAGCTCAGTGCTCTAAGGCTACGGCCACACGGGCGTTTTTTCACGCAAGAACGCAGTGTGAAAAAACGCGAGAAATATGGGCAGCATTAAATGTAACAGTGTGTTTTCACGCAGATTCGGTGCGTCTTCAAAATCGACCGCCGCGGGCCAGCAGAAGATAAACTGGGGTGCATTTTTGAAGCTTGTTTTCATACTCTGTCCCTGGCCACACGGGCGGGAGCAACACTCAGCTTTGATCAAATCGTCCTAGCAAGTTAAATTAAATATAAATGTATATAATTTTGTCCAGGATAGCATAAAATATTTTTGGGTCTAGCCAATTACACAGTAGACCTACACGTTTTATCTTAAACATAGGTCGACCTTACTGGACCACTTAATAATTTGTTACTAAAAGGAAAGGCATTTAGTTGGACTAAAAAATGTAAAGAGGCATTTATGTAGTAGAATATTCAAAGATCTGATGAGAATCTTGTCATAAAAATATTTATATTATATTTATTTTTTCATACTAAATGTTAAAATAAAATAATTTTAGTGTTGTTTTCAAATCGAAATTAATATATTATATTAATTTTTTTATACTAAATGTAAATAATTAAATGAAAGGTTAACAAAATAAAATAATTTTAGTATTGTTTTCGTATGGAAATCAAAATCCCATTCATATTTCTTGTTCACTAGTCAGAAACAAGGTTACTATTCCGGCCATGAGGAATATATATAACATAATTACGTGAATTTGTCAATCAACTGCGGGTTCCCACTGCATTTTGCCGCTCCTGGACTTCAACCGGCGTGAGAATAAGCTACATTTTACTGCGGAAAAAAACGCACGTGTGGCATACAACAGCGGGAAATCAAGCAGCGTGAAAATAAGCTACATTTTACCGCGTAAAAAAACGCCCGTGTGGCCGTAGCCTAAGACTCACACTTCATCCACAATTCAACAGCTGTAATCGGCAGTTATTATAGGCAGCTAGGAAAACCCACCTTAGGATACAAATTACAAAAAACATATGTCAGGTAGCAGCGTGTGAACGAAGCAGGCAGTTTGGGGCTATTGCGCAATAGTCTAGAATGAATTCCAGAAGTAGAATTATAAATAAAAACACCTTCGCTATGCAATTGATGCATTTAAAAACTGTTGTTATTAATAGCAAATTTCATTAAGGCTTACGGTATTATCAAGAAAATAATACTGATTGTCATGATATTTGCCATATTAAATGCCTTCTTCACGTTTCATGTAAAGTAAAACCCCTCAAGTTAACAAAAAATGTATACAAACAAAAGTTTTGTAATTTTGTAAATCCCAGAATTCAAAGCCGCCAATCCTGATAATACTAAGATAACAATTACTAGATGACAAGTATAATGTCTGGAGGAGTAGGCCTACACAGTACCGAGGATGTGAAAGTGCTGTGTTACTACTCTAACTTGCCATGATCCATACTGTTGTACAGTTACCAGTAGGCACTGCCAGATGTACCTGGTACAACAACTTTTGCAAGGCCTTCCTTTCTGTTAGGGATTTGTTAACTTATAAAACAACTTTGGGCAAATGGCCGGATGAAGAAGTTAAGATACAGAAATAATTTAAGTTCAGTACCTGAGTATTTTACTACCACAACAGATAAACATGTACGTCAAATCCCTTGCTACTTTGAATAGGCTCAGGCTATAATAACTGACACTCAAACAATATTAATTAATTATCTCTGAGTACAATTTAAGTCTGCTTAAGTTTTACTACAAAGTAGAAGTTGGCGTTAAAGAGACAGGTGATCGAACAACTATCAACGGAGAAGGTAGCGTCCGGGAAATAGGAGCTAGAAAGGCAAAGATGCTGATCTACTAACCCAAGAAGGTGTTGATGTCAGTGTTAAGAACCTTACAGGGTGTCCACAGAAATTTTGTCATTAATTTCCCTGACTTTACATGACCATTAACTATTGATTCCCATTACTCACGAACTTAACTCAAAAATTATAATATACCGTACACACACGGATAATACTGCCTAGACAAGTTATTTAACAGAAAATATTGAAATATGTATTAACGGATAACATTGGTGTACAATAGGTACAACAATGAACTAATACAAACTCAAAACCCATAAACTAAGGCAACTATAAATTGAAATTGTCATACATTTGTGAAAAATTCGGAAAAATGCTACAATAGTAGGGGTTACAGCCGACTTGAGCATTGAAAGGTCCCCTAATATCCATCCATCATTGGGGATTTCCATGGCTTTCCATGACTTTTTCCCAATTTCCATGACTTTCAATGACTAGAATTTTTTTCCATGACTTTCCATGACTATCCCTGACTTTCCAGAATGTGGACACCCTGGAGGTGGAAAATAGCAAAGTAGGCAAATATTAACCTAGAGCATAGGATAACTTGAAATAAAATATTTATCTCAGTACAAATTTGCTATCTACTTATTATTATTATTAGAGAGAGAAGAAATAATCTAGAGTTCACAGTCTAAGATTATTATATATTCTAAATAAGGATAATCTAAACTAATTAGTTTAAGATTGTTTATGGGTGTGCTCAAGTATAGATAATATGTTAGACAATAATACTCATGTCACAAGGCTGATCTTGCTAGTTAAAATATTTAAACTTTGAGTAGATTATAATTTAAGGCTTGTTGAATATCCAGTATAAAATATCAGTAAAAAAGAAGATAAATTTTCTTAATATTGATCTATTCAACTCAGAATCCAAATTTAACTACAGAGAATAATTAAGTCATATATTAGCCTTATCTTGCACTAGAGAAATAAAGTTGGATATTTAGTAGAGAACTGAGTTTGAGTTTAGATGATACCGTAGTTTCCTACCTCAGAGATGCACAATCGAAGCCACAAGATACTCCTGATTTTCACTATTAAGTCCGAATTGCCCTGTAGTAAGCCCAAGGTATGATTGCTAAAGAGTTTGAAACTCACACGTAGTTGTTGGGTCAGCAATAGGCTTCTGTGCATGACCGGTGGCGTACAGGATTTGACATGCCGGAGCGGCCAAATGGGGCTAAAGGTGCATGACAGCTGGCGGGCTTTGCAAATATGCTTACAACTGGCCGCTTGATTTAACGATAGGGTTTCAATTGATTTCAATTTTAAGAATCATAACTTGTAGTATGTTTAAAAACAATTATCCGTTTTAATATTAAGGTGGAATTAGTTAATTGTTTTGCTTGCAAATAAAAATACCCCCGTCGCAGCAAACCTGCATACTAAGCGAATTTCCATTTACCCGGCTTGATTTCTACTAAAATATTCCCTATAAATTTTCAGATTTATTTCCTATAACATTAATTTTAGTGAGTAGTTAGGTTTGCTGCTACGGGGAAGATGTTGAGGTGTGTTTTTTCAATTGAAATATTGATAGCTTAGTATGAAATAAACCAAATTGCCAAATTTGATTAAAATATATCCATAAACAAGCAAACTAGAACAGTTTATTTATTCTCCATAAGAATAACATGGGAATTTTAAATTTACAATTTTTTAATTTTCTCCGTAGTCAATGAACATTCAAAAACACTTCAATATACTAAATTATTTGTTTTTTTAAGCTCTTCAAAATGGTCTAGAGAGAAATTTAGAAATTTAAAGTTTTTAGGGTCAAAAATGAGAAAAATCCATTTTTACCCCATAAAACCCCCCATAAACCCCTGATCCCATGGTCCGATTATGCTGGTTCGCGAACTCGTTCGAATAAATGTAGGTTTACGTGTTTGTACCAAATTTTATCAAAATCGGATCAATTTTGCTCGAGTTATCGCGCTAACGGACACATATATAAATATATATATATGAATTTGAACGGATGGTGTTTTTGGCCTCTGGGGACCTCAAAACGAAAAAGTAAATCGGTCCCGGGTCTAGGTCTTACCATGAGACCTACGGTAATAGCTTATTCCCTATATAGGAAAATTCGCTAAAAATAGATTTTTTTTTAATCACTTTTGTAACATGTAAAAAAATTATGCCACAAAAGGCACTGTTATTAAGTTAATTAAAGTATCTTTTGTAACATGATTTTTTTTCAAAGTTCTATATAAGCTGTCAACGTCTGTTGGCTAAGTTTAGGTACCTAACTTAACCTGAAAATTGGGTAGTTTTTCATACCCAAATGGTAGAACTGGTAATAAAAAGCAGTAGGCCTATATTCGTACAATTTAACTATCATTAACATGATTTTCAGCTTATACTATACTAGGAATGACTAGAACCTGAATTATTTAGACATTTATTTCCGGTTTTTCAGCTGAGACTCAAAAGATTTAAAGATTTTTTTACAAATGGGAAATCTTGAGCTAACATCACAATCACATAGGAAATACTCTGTAAAGTTAAAGCTAACTAAAGTTAAAGCTAACTAAGTGTTGAGTTCACAACGAAACCAGGAACCGAGTTATCTCTCTTGTAATTTTAATGTCTTTTAGTCTGGCATTATTTAAGCAGAATTCATCAAAGGTAAAGAAAATATTTACATCAATAAACCTGGAAATAGGGTGGGATTGCAGAACTCACTTGTCTCTGAAAGGGATCTAGAAGGTTCATTAAAAGGAGAGCTGGACCTTAACACATCTAAGGTGGAAGGCAAATAAATTGGCTCGCTCACACAAGACCTTGCACTAGATTGGCAACTTTCATAACTTGAGCTGGTGATATCAGGAATGGAGAGGTATTCAGGAAGGATAAACTCAGGAGATTCTGGAACAAATTCTAAACACTTTAGTTTTATAGTACAATGTAAACCTTAAT